AAGCTTACAATCCACAATCCAAATTTAAGATAGCTTTTATCTTGGTACAATTAACAAAAAACTACAATTTAGAGTGGTTTAACAAGTGGCTAGTCTCTGTGATTTTCTTACTCTTCCCCCATGCTTGTCATACCTCATGTTTGCAAGATGGCTTTCATAGTACCTCTGGATACCATCTGAGGTCAAAACAAGAGGAAGGGGGGAGAGGATGGGTCAGTAGCATGTTTACCTTCTTACAGGAAAAGCAAGAGATTTCCCAGAAGCTACCAGCAGACTTCTACTTGTGTTACTGGCCATAATGTGTCACAGGCTCAAACCTAGCTGCAAGGGGAGCTGAGAAAACAAGTATTAAGTTTCTCCAATTCTTATTTTGGAGGTGGCAAAGGAGATGAGGAATGCAATCATCTGTCAGGTTAGTCAATGAATCGTGTGTGCTAGAGAGGGAACTGGAAGACTGGACTGGCAGATCAGCTCATTCTAGAAGAGTCCTCCTGTCATGAGATTAATCATCACAAGGTGGGCTTTATATTTCACATTGTAGCAAAGGACTTTAGCCACCATCTGACTAGCACTAATACCTCTTTGATTACAGTTAGCTGGGCTGCAAACATTACACTAGGGTATTTGAAGTCTGTACCTAGTCTTCCCTGTATCTAAAACACTACCTTTCATCTATTGAGGATACATTGGCTGTATTTTTGTTGTTGTTGTTGTTGTTTGATTTGTGTGGAGATATTAACACTGGTCTACTTTTCCATCAATGATAAATATAAGAAAGTGGCAAGTAGGGTTTGCTCTAATTTGAGGCAATGGTTAAAGCCATAATTTGAGTTTATTGTGTTCTGGCCGAGAACCTACCAATAGCTTACCACTAGCCAGCATTTCTAAATTTGCATTCATGTTCACTGATTTTACTTAAAGGCATCTTTTAAAATAATTTGTATAATTACTGGCATCACTTAATGATGCAGAAATTGTTTTAGTACAGGCTATGACAAGTTCTTACCTAATGTAGTCTAAAATATCATTAAAATATGAGACTTTACCAGAACAAAAATACATCTGTTCTAATTGAAGAACTTAAACAGGGAAGAAAATTGGAGTTAAAAGAAAATAAGAGGGACAAATAAAGTCATCTTTACTATACAAAAGGATAACTCATAAGGTTCTATACAGTAGCTACAGGTGAACCACAATTTGGCTTAGAGCTCCCCAGAAAACAAAACAAAAAAGAGAATGACAGTAATACAGTCTTTAAGATAAAAACAAATCAATTGTTTAGGAGACGCACAGGTTTTACTGGAACTGAGATCTACGAGAATTTTCTCCCACGAGTTCTCATAAATGGTACACAATGTGATAGAGAATGCATCAGCTTTAAAAACACATGTATTGAAAATACAAGTTTTGATGATTGTTTTTGCTAGTAGAAGCCAACAGCATAGAAGCAAATTGCAATGGAGTAAAGCTAATTCTATGAAGAATCAAAATGTGGATCAAATATGTAGCTCTTTGAAAATCTCCCAGAATATAAAACTTAGATTCCTTTCTCTTTCTAGTTGGGAATACAAACTTGTTTTAACAACATCTAAAACTTCCTCTATTCCTGTAAGTAATACAAATCCATTTCAAAACCAGACTAATTATTCTTAGACCTAAGGCCACTGTTCCCTGCTAATCTCACAGACAGGTGAAGCAGACTACATGATTTATCTGAGGACCATTGTTTTCCAAATAAATGTGCTTTAAATGGCTAATCTAAGTATAGTAGATAGAACACATTCTAAAATGCTGAATTTTATGGTTGTACTTCTTATACATGGACTTAATTTTCAAAAGGTTAAAAGATTATCTACAAAATTGTTTCAGTTACGTTCAAATTTTTAATCAATACTGGTTACATTTGAAGTGCACTGCACCTATTTACAAAGACTTAAAATGATCAGTAATATAAAGTGTAAACTTAAAACGAAAATCACAGACTCATTCCACATCTGTGAAATGCAGCAGTTAACTGTAATTAAATTTACAATAATCGTAAGGGATAGGAAGAACATAGAAACTGGAGGAGAAAAATAGTATTCAAGATCTGAACAACACAGCTACTGTTGTACTGAAAAAATAATTTATTAAATGAGTATAATACTGGGAATAAGATGCATTATAAAAGTAAATTCTAAATATAAACAACCGTGGTTTTCCTAATTAACAAGAGTTTTTCTTCACCCATTCAAAGTTTTAAATACAGTCTTCTGAAAGGCCAGATTTTGAAAGTGTATGGTTCACTTTAAGACAGACATGTATGTAGCACTATAATATCTGGAATTTATCATCTTGTTTTATTAGACTAAAAATGATATTGATTAATTTAAATGATTGTTCTTTTTAAACCTTTTAAAGCCTAGAATAATATTTTGAAATGAACAAGTAGACCATTTTATTATACTCTTTCGGTCTCCCTGGACAGCACACACATTTCAAATATAGTTTGTGGAAAATATTGAGATAGAGCATACCTGTCCATTTTGATGAAGACTTTAAAAAATTTTGGTACTTTGGTAAAAAGCAGTCTCCTTTTTAGATCAAAGGTTGACAACAGCCACTGTATCTATTAATCTACGTCCGTAGAATTTTAAACAACCACATCTTAATATGTACATCAAGATACTGATAAGCTTTTAGCTAGTGAAAGAAAAACACGGAGACTGTTATTCTTTCCCCAATAAGTTTCCTTCAGTTTTTAGAAAGCATACGCAGTTCAATATACCAACTGGGATTTCAAAATGCCAGCATGATTACAGTGCTTATTAACAGCAATATGCAAAACAATAGAAATATAAAATAAATAACTTCATACTATAAAAATGAAACAAGGCACTTTCAACAACTATATGCAAAGCTGAGATAAACATTGTTTTCATAACGCGGACTCAAAGACTCTAGGAGACTTCTGTAAAGAGTGAAATAGTGAAGGCACTACATAATTCTTTTTCCTAACTCCACTTACTAAAGAAATTCACCAATTAAACTTGGCACAGAAGAGTTTAATTGTCATAAAGTGCATCACTTGGCTAAATATATTAAGAAAATCAGCATCAATACATTATAGCAACATATTCACATATACAGAAATAAAAATGCAATGCCAGGAGCTGACATAGGAACTTTGTAGGATATATGGCTTTTTCTCTTTTATTTTTTTGTATAACTGCCTATTTGCTTACAATCTATATTTTTTAAAGAGTATGCCTTGATTAGCAAAAAGAGGTAGTGTTCTGACAAAGGCAAACCCACTGATTCTATAGGTAGAGATTTAAGATAAAGATTATGTGGAAAATATACAAGTATAACATATAATACACTGGTACAACATTTATTATAGTATTTTGATATCAGCGAATTTGCTTTTAAAATCAAGGCTATTTTATCACTTTAGCTATGTTATTACAGCTCTTTCAAAGAGTTTTCCTTTGGTACTAGAAAGTTTTCTTCTTTTAAATACTAACATTCGAAATAAGCAACTTTTATTTAGAGATGATAAACATGTCAACATTTAAAACTCAATTCATCTCTACCACTTATTTAAACCATTAATGAAAATATATCATGTCTGAGACACAAGAAGTATATAACAGACAGCAACATGCAATTTATGTCCACTTAACTAATGTAACTGGTGATTTAAACACACACACACACACACACACACACACACACACACACACACACAAAGTGTGCACACCCACGTTAGTCTGGAGCAATATATTGGCAAAACAACAAAATAATTTATGCACAGTATTTAAGGATGTGGGCCTTGATGACAGAACTCCAGATTTTTTTTAGTGTGTTAAATACAAAGTTTGGCTAAAAGACAATGTAAAGCAACAGTGAATATATTTCCTATACCAATAACTTAAATTTTTCTTTATGTAAACTTTATACATGTGCAATCTTGCTGTTTTCTGTAAATGCTTCAGTCTCTTTTTTTCTTTTTAAATATCTGCCACTCTATTCTAAATTTGCAGGAACGTAAAAATGGAAGGAACCACTTGAGATGCATTAGTCGTCTTCCACATTATATGCCACTTCTGCTACTTCTATGTCTGATGTGGAATTTTCAGGTTCACTAAAACTTGAGCATTGCTTATTATCAGCTCTGAAAAAAAAAGAGAAACACAATGAAGAGACTGGATGCATGCTATTTCACTTCACTATTACCGTAAACATTTTTTAAGTCATGTAAAGAATATTTAAATATTTAATGAAAAGGAACACTTGAATATTCAATCAGAAATTTAATATTTTAAAGTTGTCATTGCCAGATAACACCTTTGGAGATATATTTTTAACTCTTTCAGCTCTCTGAACTACCACTTTTCAATAAAAATCTAGTTTATATTTTTAACTCTTTCAGCTCTCTGAACTACCACTTTTCAATAAAAATCTAGTTTATATTTTTAACTCTCTCAGCTCTCTGAACTACCACTTTTCAATAAAAATCTAGTTTGTAATGACCTTTAACCAACAGAAAATTTGTTCTCATAATTATAGCTTAACCACTATCACTAATGTATTAATGGTGACCTTGGATTTATATGTAATAAAAATTCTTTGTGTGTTCAAATATACCATCTTTCCATCATTCCTATTAGGTAGACAAGGTGGTTGCTATTACAGTGTCCCACTTTTTGCATGGAAAAGACTGACATTGAAAGAGATTAAAGTAATCTGTCAAGACTACAAAATTAATGAATTAACTGAGTCACAGCCCAGTTAATTCAGACGTATCTTCAAAATAAGTAATGAAATTTATAGGCTGGATGACAAAGATTCATTTTTAGGGACAGCCTAGAATATCTATAGTCTTCCTCTGTTTGCTCATCAGATTCATGATATAATAACACTGAGTTCATAAAAACATGCTCTACAGAGTATTATGACTGTTTCTCTCCAATTATTCAGATGATTAGGCTATAATAAACCAAACATTATATACCTAGATTCTTCATCTAAGACATCTTGATCAACCTCAAGTGCAGAGGACTCCACCTTTAGGATCTGTCCACCTTCTGTTCCTGACACGATCAGTGATTCTTCAGGTTCCAAACATAAGTTCCTAAAGGTAAAGTATAGCAACAAGTTATTTTCTATGAATAAAATAGGTATATATTTATTGTTCTGAATGCATGTAGCTTTAGTAGGCTTCAGCTGTTCTAAGTGTAGTCATATACCTAATAAACTGTTGACTCTGGGTGTCAACAGTGAAATCAGTACTTATGATTAATTTAAAATGATTTTAACATCAATTCGATATATGCTGACAAGAAGGCAAACTAGAACTTTCACATGTGAAAAGCTGGCATAAATGCCTAGAAACAAAGATACTATTTAAATAGGTTAAAATAATGTTTGTCTTGGTGAACAACTAGAGCTTTATTTTCCTGATATTTCTCATCCTTCAAATTTTCAGGCTTCTAAATAAATAAGCAAACAACAGACAATTTTCCCAATCTACAAGGATGTACACCATGAGTCTAAGACTTTTGGAGTCAGAAATTTCCTAAATTGTAACGTACAAAGGGCATTTAGCCCAGAGTATCGAGCTGAAATAGACTGACAATGCAAGCATCACAACATACCTGATTCTGTTTTCTAGAGTGTCTATAAGAAGTTGCTTCTCACAGAGCAGTTTCTTCAGTGATTCCAACTCTTTTTGTTTTTCAAGTAGTTCTTTTTGAAAACGGTAGTTTGTCTCTTCTAAAGTTTCACAGAAAGCCTTAAAAACAAACAAACAGCAAATAAAAAACACATGCAGAAAGAGAATAACATTAATTACTTATGCAGTACCTTTCTCAAGGGCATAACTGAAGAGTCAAAGAACATAGGTAACCAAAATAATGTGTATACAAACCAGATGATTTGTTCTCCACCCTCATCTTTTTAGGTCTCTGCTACCTTAGTACCTACTGGGGAACTTATAAATAAGTACTGGGGAACTTATAAATAAATACAAGTCCCTTTTCTTGAGAATTATTAAGTAGTAAGCTAGGGTGCCTGAAATGAATATGTGATATCTCTCTAGTGTATAACTGGGAAAAAAAATTACTAATAATCACTGTTTTAGCTTCTATTCTCCTTAGCCTGTTTTTGCCCAGTCCTAGATGATTATACTTTAAAGAAAAAAAATTAAAAAAAGAAAACTGTGGCTATTGATTCCATTTGTATTAGCTCAGAAGACACATCCTATAATAACGATTTCCTTCATAGTGCTTTCAATATTATTTTCCCTTGCTTCTCCTTTTACTATATTCACTCAAAGACATTCTATCCTTAATACCCAGGAAGCTAAACACTATTGAAATAGATTAAAACAAAATCATACTGCCATGAAGAATGATGTCATGAAAAAAATCTGGGTCACTTACCTTGATGAGGCTTTCAGTGTTGCTTTTAATTGTTCCTAGTTATCTATCATTATCTATCATTCCCTGTCTCCTTTGTGACTACGTTAAACCTTCACCCCTGGCAAATCCCCTACAATATGTTACTACTGGTGAGCCCAAGCCCAGCAGATGATCTTTATTCCTATACCAGAAAAAAAAAAAGTTACTCTCCCAGAATCCTAACTACATTTGCATTCCGTTCTTGTCCTCAAGAATATGTGTCTCTTCAAGTTCAGCCCAATCTCCTTTGGAAGCCTGCCCTATCCCATACACTCTCTCTTAAATTTTCAACCTTTCCCTCTCTTTTGGACCTTAGATTTATTTAATCAAGTTGACTGAAGTTGATTCAGCAAACCTAAAAATCTCTCCACATAAAAACAAAGTCATATCCACCGGTCCCTTGATAAGAGTCTCTCTAGCTACTAACTCATCTTGTTCTTTTCAAAATAAAAAAGATTTCCAGGAAAAAAGTTTTTATCATCCAAATTTAGCTTCCTCATTCATGGCTAAAATCATTAGGAGTTTTACTCGCTTTTCTCTACTAATTATACCCAGGCAAATGCTAAGAATGACTTCTGTCAAATCCAAAGTACTGTTTTTCTCAACTTCATAGCATGTCACTACTGACTTAAAAAGTAAAAAAAAAAAAAAATTAATGGAATCCTCTTTTATTGTGCTCTGTGAAACTTCCTGGTTCCCCTAATTTTACAGTTACTTCTTAGATTCCTACTTGTTCTTTGCATGTGGGCATTCATCAGAGTTTTGTCCTTGATTATATATTCTCTTGCTCTATATTTCATCCTTGGGCAATTACTGTTATCACTTCAACTATAACCTATACTATTTGCTATCGACTTCCAATTTTTTTTTCTGTTCATCTCCAGCCCAGACCTTTCCTGAGTACATAGATATCATTCATATACCTACTGGTCCCCTTCAATTGTATGTACCAATGGTAAGTCAAAATGCACTCCCAACGGTACATCTGCACTACCACCTCATCATCAAAGCCACCAGGCAAACATCTTAGATCACTGCATTTCGCTACTTTCTATGCCCCAGGTAACCCAGTCTTTTCCACCTTCCCCTTCTCCTCCTCCCCCACTGCCTCATCAACATCTCGCTATACTCATCTACTCTCTATACTCATTTCTACTGTGCAGTATAAGGCTAGGTAATGTGATCACTGAAAGAGAAGAGTGCAGAAGCAAACCCTTCCTTTCATGTTCATCTGACTTTTGATAAAGGTGCCAATACAATTCAACACAGGGTACTGACACATTTTAGTATCTATAGAAACTTAAGGTCCTCACTTCACACCTTATACAAAATTAGCTCAGTATGGATGTAAGAGTTAAAACTATAAAACTTCTAGAAAAAAAAGTAGGAGAAAATCCTGGTGGCCCTGTGTTAGGCAAAGAGTTCTTATGATACAATACCAAAAGCATAAGCCATAAAGGATATGATAAAATGACCTTCATTATAATTAAAAACATTAGCACTTCAAAAGATACCATTAAGAAGGTAAAAAGACACATACAATGAGAAAACATTTTCATATATTTGATAAAGGACCTGTATTCAAAATAATGAATTCTTACAAATCAATAAGACAAACAACCCAACTAAAAAAATAAGCCAAAGGCTCAAACAGACAATTCATCAAAGAAAACATACAAATGGCAAAAAAGCACATGAAAAAGCGATTAACATAAAAATCATTACGGATATACAAATTAAAACTATAATGAAATACCATATCACACCTACAAGAATGGCCATAATCCAATAGACAGATAATATCAAATGTTTGTGAGGACATGGAGAAACTAGAACTCTCATACACTACTTGTGGGAATGTAAAATGGCATAGCCACTTGGGAAAACTCTTTGTAAGTCTCTTAAAAAAGTTAAACATAATTTACCATATAACTAAACATTCTACTCTTAGGGATCAACCCAAGAGACATGAAAACATATGTCCACAAAAAACCTTCTCTGAAATTGTTCATAGCAGCATTATTCATAATAACACAAAACTGGAAACAATCCAAATATCCCTCAGCTGTTGACTGGATAAACAAAATGTGGTATATGTGCGCAACAGAAAACCATTCAATAATAAAAGTAATGAAATACTGAGAGAGACCATAACATGGATGATGCTCAAAAACATTATGCTAAGTGAACAAAACTAGATGAAAAGATTATATATACTGTATACTATTGCATATTGTACATATTATGCATATACAATATTATGCATATTGTATATATGAGATTATATATATATAGACACACATATACACTTATATGCACATTATATATACACACACACAGTATGATTCTATTTATATGAAATATCCAGAAAAGACACATTTGCAGAGACTGAGAGCAGATCAGTAGTTGTCTGGGGCTGGGAGTGTGGAATGGCTGCAAAATGGCTTGTAGAATTTTTTTTGAGGTGATGGAATTTTCTAAAACTGGATTATGGTAATGGAGACACAACTCTACAAATTTACTAAAAAGTTATTAAATTGTACATTTACAATGGAATAGCAAATAGCAAATTTTATGGATGAAAGTTTTACTTCAATAAAGCTATTTAAAAAAAAGCTATGGCATTCCTCTAACACAAAGAACTGACTCAGTTTAACTGAAAACATTACAAATCTACCAATTAAATCTGTTCCATTTAAACGCTATTAAACATTTGGAAGAAAAACTTGCATAAATCCTAGCTAATCTATTATTACCAAATCTGTCTGTGAATCTAGCCAATTGCTTCAAGAAGTAGGCTACTTTAACACGTCAAGTAGTGTAATTTGAGTAGCCTTAAGCTTGAGCTGAATTGATAACAAGACAATAACTTCTACTTCTGAAGATTAGTTTTTTAATTTGATTTTAACTGTAGGTTCTTTACTTTGATACTTAGATGGAAGAAAACTCAGCATGCAAATGTTACTTTTAAATGTAAAATAAATTTCCAAGTAATCTTCTTTTTTCTGAAACGGTATAAATAAAGAGAATAAATGTAGAATTTAATTTTAGGGCTTCATAGACTATAGGACATGTACGAATTTTTATTTTTTCACTGAATTATGTTCATGTATTTCAATGAAAGAAAGCTTTGACTCAAACATTAAAAGCTTTCTGTGCAAAACTACCATAGTCCGAAATTATAACTTTGCTGTTTGCTGTTCCATTCAAGAAACAATGTAGTTATTGTACGGTATTATTTGTTCCTCTTTTCATGTGATATATAATACAGCACTTACCCTGCTTTCTTCTAGGCTATCAAATGGACCTGGTGGATCATCCAGACAAAGAAATTCTCTCACTGCAAGGCTTTCAAAGGAAAAAAAAAAAAATTAGCTGGGATACAAATAAGTTTACAAAAGAGAGCAAGATAGCAGAAAGCAAAAGTTACTCTGAAGCTAGCTATAGTGTTTTAAGCAAGTTGGTTCTGCTGATAAATGAAAATAAGCAAGATGGCGTATGCGTTTTCACACAAGTAACAAAATACAAATATAAAATCTATAGAAGATACAAAGATTTTAGGTTATTTCTATGATCTTATGAACATAAAAAGATTGTGAATTTATGTTACATAAAAACTACACGACATAAAACATAAATCAGAAATGGTACAGGAAATCAACGTAAATGGTGAAAAGACAGTATTATTTTCAAAGAAATATTAATTTGAACTAGTCTAAAAACGTCATTATCTTTTTATGAAGAAATACAATTTCTACTTCATACTTCATTTGTTTCTTCTTCAGGAGATGATTCTAAAGTAACTAAAGTATTTACTATGAAACAAGTTAAAGATTTTTCTTACAATCATGTTTATTATATTAATTCACTTAAATGTTTTCCCTAGAGAATTCAAGAGAAAGAATTCTGATCCTCCCATTTCTGAATTACCATAAAGTTCAAAATAATGAAATAATATGATATTGTTATACTCATACTTTTCAATTACCAGAAACAGGTTAAGAAGGTAGAAACCTGAACTTCCTTGTTACAAAATACTCCTCTTTCTAAAAAGTAATCTTGGATTGAGGGACAGCTCTATATGTATGTTAAAACAAAAATGTGGAGACTTAAAGGATGATGATGAAGGGGGTGGTGATAAAGAGATAAATGGGATCTTTAGTAAAATCATTCCAAAGGAAAAAATGAAATAGAGATGTGGTGTTAAGAAAGTAATCCAGAAGATCCCAAAAATAGAAAAAAGAGGAGCAAGTTTCTGGATTATAAAATCTTGATAATATAGATAATAAAAAAACATACACTCAGGGAAACTGAGATAAAACTTGAGTATTCATAATCATGAAATAACAGAGATGGAAGGGATCGTAAATGTGATCTAGTTGAACTACCCATAGTATGCTGCTTATATTATCCCTTTTATATGTTCAGCCAAGACTATGTCTAAACATCTCCAGAAATAGGGACTACAACTGTGTCTTAAAATGAACCATCAAAATAAACCACCCTAAGTTTGAATAACACAGAAAACTAGAAAATTATTTCTTCACTGAGCTGGATTTTTCTCCCTGAAGCTTCTATTCATGAGTCTTAGTTTGGCTCTCTGGGGCCCTTCCAGGTAAGTCTAAGTCTTCTTTCACATGATAACCCTAAAAATATGTCAAGAATGTTATGTTTACTCTAACCTTATACCTCTAGCAAGCAATACTAACACACTAACATTTCCTTTTCTTTTTTCATGTAGCAAAATTTAGTGAGTACTTAAAGCCTATATGGTCTTCTGCATTCATGGAGCCAACATTTTTTCCAGTTTTACTGAAATATAACTGACAATTAAAAATTATATATATTTAAGTTATATAACTTGGCTCGATATATACATACATTATGAAATATGAAGTACAATCAAACCACTTAACATATCTATCACCTCACATGGTTACCATTTCTAACATTTTCAAAGTACATTACACACACAGGGTTTTCACATACCCTGCTTTATTCAATTTACACAACAATCATGTGAGGTGAGGATAGGCATTATACCTCCATTGTACAAGTGATAATAAAGTTCAGAGAGGTAAAATGACCCACCCAAGGTCATTAGTGCAAGTGGTAGAGCTAGACCTTAAATCTGTCTTCTGAGTATAAATATGTGCCTTTTTCTACCTTTAAACTCTTTTCTCTTATGTTTTGGTTCATTTGGATTCTTTCCCCTTGCTGATCACTTCTTTCTGACCACATTCAATTTCTCTGTATCTTTCTTTAATCAAAGTCTCTAGAATACTGCAGTTGGTCTAACAGTATAGAGAAGAACAGGACCACCACACGTTCTTTTGGTTTAGATATTATACTTTCTATCCACCCACTATGTATATCGGAAAACTATTAGGCAGAATGAGGCACAAGAAATAAACTGATCTTGGGATTGACAGGCCAAAAGTTTGGATGGGGGCTTCCTTGGTGGCGCAGTGGTTGAGAGTCCGCCTGCCGATGCAGGGGACACGGGTTCGTGCCCCGGTCTGGGAAGATCCCACATGCCATGGAGCGGCTAGGCCCGTGAGCCATGGCCGCTGAGCCTGCGCATCCGGAGCCTGTGCTCCGCAACGGGAGAGGCCACAGCAGTGAGACGCCCGCGTACGGCAAAAAAAAAAAGTTTGGATGAAACGCTGAGAGAACAGCCTTTAAGGATGAAAAGGAAAGTGCTAAGAAGTTTATGGAAGAGTCTTTTCAATACTTTCAGTGTATGACAACTTAATGTGTGACATTATTTCTTATAAGTTTATACTCAGATTTCCTCATTCTTTAGTAACATTTTTATGTTCACCATTACTCTAATTATTGGAATGCTGCTGCTAGGAAAGAAAAAGGGGGTAAAGGGATATATGTATTTCTTTTTATACCTTTGGTTTAAAGCAGAAATTCAGCCCAAGATCCACAGTGATGTTGACAATGTACCTAGTTGTAGGAAATTTTTTTTAGAGTAGTTATTCCATTTCATTCTCCTTCCCTAAAAATCTTTATGATTTATGGCTCACTAGAGTTCTACGCAAATGAAATCCAATGGATTCTCTAAATTTTTTTTCACTACAGTTCCAAGGTTATATTCCATGCCCTATTTTGTTTAATCTGTAGCATAAGAGTGAAATTTAAAACTGGCACTACAACTGTGATTGACAAAACACTTTTTTCAGGGGTTCAATACATTTCTTCTGTTTCAATAGGACTCAGTTGATGGAGGAAGAAAGTTAATACTCTTAAACTCTTTTCCCATCCAAGGAAAGGGACACACAAGAATGTCTGGCAGATGGTAGTGTTTGAGAAAAGAAATTCAGGTACCTTTTCTCCCCCCGTAGAAAAGGAAGCCATTACCCCTTCTTGCGAATCTCTGACTAGAGAACTTTATTTAGATTTGATAAATATCTGACTGCCTATGTGTGCCATGGCTCTGCTCAGTGATTTCTTATATATTATCAATGTATAATTTATAAACAAATCAAGTAAATTCAAATAAAGTATAAGTACCAAAAAGTCTATATTATTAAATGGTCTATGGATTAAATAGAAGTCAATTTAAAAAATTATTATTTATTTACTTGTTCACTGATAGGTTCAATACAACCCCCAATCTCTCTTCTGTATTTGATCTTTAATACTTTTGTTTCCATTTGACCATGATAATGAAGGTAAGGAAAACATGAGAATTAGGAGAGAAACCTATCTAAGAGAAAATCCAACAATCTGGAATTGAAAGGTATGGAAAGACTATCTTTCCGTTTATCATGTAGAGTAACTTCTTAGTGTGGTTGGGAAATCTCTATTTTAAAATTGTGATCAGTTGACTTAACTTGCCTGAATATAAGGAAACCAGAGATGGTACCCTTCAGCATTGTTTTCATCAGAGCAAATTTGCCCTATATCTTAAACTCTTCCTTTGAGTCTCTTGAAAAAGTCTCCTTTAAAAGAGTTTTACTGTAATTTTCAAACTTCTTAAAAAACTATTTCATCCAGTGAATCTTCACCTTTTACTTCATAATATACCTTCCTTTTTTTCTTTCATGGGTATGTATTTGTTTACATTCCACAATTTTTTTTAAAAAGACCAGTAATTTAATAGCTAAATGAGCTCTTTATCTCAAAATTTATATTAAAAAAAGCTAAAACTAATGCTTACAATTCATTAAAAGGTCTATAAAGAACTAAGTAAAAAAAGTACTAGAAATACTAGATAGTTCTTCTGTCAAAACCAAATTAAGCACAAAAAGTCACTGCATGAAAATATTAATTGAGGGATTTCAGATAGAAATGTTTTATCAGTTACTATTTCTCTTCAGTATTCTCTACCAGTAAAAAGAAAATAACAAAAATATGACATTAAATACAACCCCAAGGATAGGGACTCAGGGATCAAGGTTGGTGACAGTGAGGGTCATGGTGAGGGAGATGGGCTGCTGGGTGTGAAGCTGAAGGGCTCACATTTACCCTCCTGTGCTGGATATGCAGGCAAGGCTGTGGGCCTAGTTTATAGCTTGGTTATCTCTCACCTAGTTACTTTTAGTCCACTTGTGTCCCTACATTCAGTTTTATTCCTTCTAATACAAAAATACTTCAAAAGCGAACGTTTTATGTCCAACTCAGCTTGAAACCCATCTATGCCTCCTCTAACAAGAGGGAACAAAGCCAAGGTCTTGGCGTTGGCATAAAGCACCTGTGTACATTCAAGCTTTTACTGCCTTTCTTATTTGACACTTCAGCAATAGTACTTCCTCATGCGTATCATGTTGTTTCATGCTTGCTGCTATCACCCTGGCCCATCCTTCCCACCTTCAGCTCGCTGACTCAGACTTCACATTCATGACTTAGCTCATCTATTATCTCCTCATAGAATCTTCTCTGACTAAATCCCCCTCCCCTACACTCTACTCGGTTCAGTACTCTTATATGCATTACTACACCACCTTGAAGAGATCCCTTTCATAGGACTTACTACACTGTATATTAGTATTTTCTGTTTACCAAGCAGTCTGCTTCAACAAAAAGTAGATGACAAGTTCCAGGGCTGTACAGAATCTGAATAAATTAGCATAGCACAGAATAAGTATTCAAAAAATAATGAATTTATTTGTAAGAGCTATGCTAATTGCTCTTAAAAAATTAATGAAACTATTAAGAGCGTCAGAATAAATTTCTATCCACTGTTGTAGATAAATAATACAGCACACTCTCAAATTTGAGATGGAATTTAGTTTTTAATAGATATGCCTACTTTGACGAGGGACTAAGCTTAGGACAGCAACATGTAAGACCGAAAGTCTTAAGAGTTAAAAGAAGGTTAGAATCTGGCTGTTTCTGATGGTACTCCTTCAAGATTTATAAAGAAGCACAATGAAAGGAATAGCATATGAGAAACTTAGAGCTGAAGGTGGATTTTTAGAGAACATTTAGTCCAATTACTTCATTTTCTAATTGGAAACACTAATTAAAATCAGTTAAGTAGGGCTTCCCTGGTGGCGCAGTGGTTAAGAATCCGCCTGCCAATGCAGGGGACACGGGTTCGAGACCTGGTCCGGGAAGATCCCACATGCCACGGAGCAACTAAGCCCATGCACCACAACTATTGAGCCTGCGCTCTAGACCTGCAAGTCACAACTACTGAAGTCGGGGCACTTAGAGCCCGTGCTCCACAACAAGACAAGCCACAGCAATGAGAAGCCCGTGCACCGCAACGAAGAGAAGCCTCTGCTCACCGCAGCTAGAGAAAGCCCGCACGCAGCAACGAAGCCAAAAGTAAATAAATAAAATAAATAAATTAATATATAAAAAATAAATGCATACGTTTAAAAAAATCAGTTAAGTAATTGCCTAAAATTATTTCACTACTAAGCCCAGAAAACTGAATTTTGCATAAGGTCTTTGAGACCTAATTTAATTAGTCAAGAGTTTACGTGTATCTGAATACAAAATATTTACTTTATTACATTAAAAAAGCTGTCCATAACTGAAGGTCCACCAAACTAATATTTTGTGGTAAAAATCATGCAACCAACCTTAGCAATAATGTGTTCATTCTCATGAGCTGTCATTATATAAACTATTGCATATATAACTGAATTCTTTTATAAAAATACTAACCCAACCTCTCTTGACAGTATCTTCACATATAAAAACAACTTACACATTAATAAAATTTCCTGTGAGAAGATGTGAAAATGTATAAAAAATAGCTTCTTTACATATTTTTGTTCAAAAATTATAGATTTATTGAATTTTACAACTAGAAGAGACTTAAGAAGTCATCTAATCCAATATATCCCACGTAAATAATTCCTTCTTTAATACCACTGATAGTTATCTAGTCTAGTCTCTTCAAATATTGATGCTTAAGGTAAACTCACTTTCTCAAAAGGCAGAACATTTTTATACCAGACAGCTTGAAATGACATGTAGCTCTTTTTTCTCTGAGCTGATGGGGGCTTCCTCTAACTGTTCACTTATTCCTAGTTCTACACGTTAGTCTTGCTATTCAAAATGAGGTCCCTAGGCCGGCAGCATCAGCATCACCTAGAAACCTGTTAGAAATGCAGAATCTCCACTCCAGACCTTGCTAATTCAGGACGTGCATTTGAACGAGACGCACACTATAGCTGGAGAAGCACTGCTTTAAAGCTAAATATCATTTGATTCTTTTCCCCATCACAATCTTTCAAAGACGTGAAGATGGTTATCATGTCCTTCCAAGTACTTTTTTTTCAAGGGGTAAATTCTCATTTCTTTCAATTGTTTCCTCATGTAAATGTTTGGATACTATATACTACAATATATATTTTTTAAACCATGAACTGCTGTTAATCCAGATCTATCTGCACTTTTTTTCTTTTAACAGATGTAGAATTTAGAACACTGAATTTTGGCATGGAACTCCTTATAGATGAATGCTAATATAAGGAAAAATATGTAATTTTAACCCTTGTATTTTAAAGAATTAAGAAGAAAAATGTGGTAAATCAGGATATATGTGTAGTAATTCTGAAAACAGAGAATAGTAAGATATTTGGTGTGCTGATTAAATGATGTAATTATTTCAAAGTAACACAAACCAGAATAAAAGAATAAATAGCTAAATTTTAACTATAACAGATTATGCAATATGAGAACATCCCCCTCTATCCATCTTTACACATGCTTCACCTTGACAAGCTGAGTTACATGCTGTTTCGGGTATAGGACTTGGCCTGCTTGCTTCTGCATTTTCACATAATATTCCCTCTCATTTGGAAAGTCCTTCCTTACTTTCTCTTTGTCGGTTCAAATAGCACTCAGTCTTTAAAACCCAGCTCAAATATCACCCTCTAGGAAGCCTCCTCTAATTCTCCCAGTCAAAAGTTCCCTCTCTTCCTCTTCTGAAAGACATCAAGCTCTATCCATTATAGTTCTTTTGGGTGTGTCTTCTTCCTATTCAGTTTTCTTGAATAAAGGATTAGCATCTAACGCACCTTTGTGTAGCTGTAATACCT